TGATTGGGGCTTCAGGGTTTGGGACGCGTAGTGTAGCTAAGCGAAGGCGGTCATTCGGCATGTGGTAGATCCCGGTCCCTCTACAGATAGACTATAATGGCCCCCAAGACCCTGTTCTAGTTTTTAAGGCTCCCGAAGTAAGTCTGCATCAACCCCCGAACCCTATAAACCCTAAACCCCTGAACCCCCAAACCCCTGAACCCCTAAGCCCACCCTAACCCTACACCATAAACCCTAGACGCTACACCCTACACCCTACACCCTACACCCTACACCCTAAACCCTAAACCCTAAACCCTAAACCCTAAACCCTGAACCCTAAACCCTAAACCCTAAACCCTAAACCCTAAACCCTAAACCCTAAACCCTAAACCCTAAACCCTAAACCCTACAGCAAGGACTGCGTCTCCATCTTTGCCCTTACAGTGCACGAGGCGACGACTGGGTTGAGGGATTTCAGGAAATCGAGGGAACCAAAGAGATCTTCAGGGACTTAGGCAGCTTTTTTTTGCAATTTAGGGGCGCTTAAGGGGAAACTTATGTCATGGGAATTCTTGGCGTTCAGGGTTTAGGGTTTAGGGTTTAGGGTTTAGGGTTTAGGGTTTAGGGTTTAGGGTTTAGGGTTTAGGGGCAGTTAGGGTTCTCCTGCACCCTAACGTGCAGGAGTTCTGGAATGCTTAGTTACTGGGCTTTGGAGTACTATACTTTAATACTTTTTTTTGTTCTGGGTTCCCATTATTGCTACTTATTACCTAAAAAGTATATACTTTTTTTCCAGGGTCTACTCCAAAGCTAAGGTTAGGTTGCAGAGTTGTCGGCTGAGCCATGGGAGCACATGGCCGCTGAACCGCACCCCCCCGAACCCTTCGATGGAATCTGAGTCACTTCGGGAAATGTTGGGCTACTGCTACGGAGTATGTTGAACAGAGCATCACATGGCTTGTACCAGGTGGGTGGCTTCTGTGGCCGACGGGCTTGTATCGAAATGTGACACCTGAAACCCTCAACCCAAACCCTAGACCCCCCCACCCCGCAAAAGAAACCTCCTAGGAGGCTGATGGCTGGGTAGGGTTTGGTCTCTTGACGCTTTGGGGTTTAGACCGCGTCGTGTTTCAGCGCTTTGGTGCAGAGTTGAGGTTCTGGGTGTATAGGGTTTTGGGGTTTAGGGTTTTAGGTTTTTAGGGTTTTTGGGTTTGAGGGTTTGAGGGTTTTAGGTTAGGGTTTTAGGGTTTAGAGGGTTTTAGGGTTTTAGGGTTTTAGTGTTTTAGGGTTTTAGGGTTTTAGGGTTTTAGGGTTTTAGGGTTTCAGGGTTTAGGGCTTAGGGTTTCGGGTTAGGGCTTAGGGTCCAGGATTCGGGGTTTAGAGCTCCGGTGTCCGGCTGTCTCGAATCCCGAAACCTTCGCTAGGGCGAGCCCTTTCCTACCCCCTGGTTCTTAGTAGGGAGTGAGGGAAATAGGGCCCTGTATATACCCTTTAACTTACTGGCTCAAAACCCAACTTTTCAATTTTTGGGTTTCTTATAAGGTAGTTTTTTCCGAAAGCTTATTTTTTCCTTCCTTGGGTTTTGGGCCCGTAAGCTGAGGGAGTATATGGGGTACCCTAAACCCTAAACCCTAAACCCTAAACCCTAAACCCTAAACCCTAAACCCTAAACCCTAAACCCTAAACCCTAAACCCTAAACCCCTTTCCCTCATTCCCTACTAAGAACCAGCCAGGAAGTCCTTCCCCCTAGACCCTCCTTGCAGCGACCCCCCGAATCATAGCTCTACCTGAAGGCTCCAATGTAGTTCCGTTCAGGGTTTAGGGTTTAGGGTTTAGGGTTTAGGGTTTAGGGTTTAGGGTTTAGGGTTTAGGGTTTAGGGTTTAGGGATAGGGTTGGGGGATGCGAGTATACGACCCCAAAATCGTAAACTCTAAGCCCTCGAAGCCCTGTACTCCACCAGAAGCCTACAAGCTGAGGGCTAAAAAGCGTACAAGGAGGTTTGCTTTTCCGAGCTCGGTGCAGACCCCAAGCCCTCGACCCTAAACCCTAAACCCTAAACCATAAACCCTAAACCCTAAACTTCTAAACCCTAAACCCTAAACCCTAAACCCTAAACCCTAAACCCTAAACCCTAAACCCTAAACCCTAAACCCTAAACCCTAAACCTAACCCTAAACCCTAAACCCTAAACCCTAAACCCTAAACCCTAAACCCTAAACCCTAAACCCTAAACCCTAAACCCTAAACCCTAAACCCTAAACCCTACCAGGGCCCCAAGCCCCCAAACGAAAAGCCTTCTGCCAGGCACATCGCATCCTAGGACCGCGGGTGGATCCGGGAGTGAAGCCCCAACCCCCAAAACTACTCAGGTTTTTAGGGTTCAGGTTCAGGGTTTTGGGTCTAGGGTTTTTTTGGGTCTAGGGTGTTTTGGGTCTAGGGTTTTTTGGGTCTAGGGTTTAGGGTTTAGGGTGTAGGGTTTAGGGTTGAGGATTAAAGCCCTAAAGCCCTAAACCCTAAAAAACCCTAAAGTGTAGGGAACCCTGACGATCCTAGAGCCCTGAGTCCTCAGCCCATGGCTGCGTTGAAAATACGAAAGCCTAGAACCCTAGGTTTTACTCGTGGGTCCTTTTATCTGGGTTTTGGAGTACTGTACTTTAATACTTTTTTTGGTTCTGGGTTCCTATTATAGCTACTTATACCTAAAAAGTATACACTTTTTTTCCAGGGTCTACTCCAAAGGTAGGTAGGTTATGTGTTCTCTCAATTGGGTTTAAGCGGACTACAGTCAGGATTTTTTTATCAGTGGGCTGGCTGTAAGGGTCATTCTAGTTTTAGGTTTAGGGGATAGTGAGGGTTCGGTGTTTCACGGTTAGGGTTTTGGGTTGAGGGTTTCAAAAGGGAGCAGAATTTGCAGAACTTCCCCCTATTCAAATTCAAGCCCCTTAACCTGAAACCCTGATCCCCGAAACCCTAAAGCGCGGAATAAAGCCCTAAGCTCGAGGCCCAAGCCAAGCTGAACAATGAAGACCAGTTTATCTGCTAGTTGAATCCAGAATTTGGAGCACATGTGCCTAAACCCTAAAACCCTAAACAGGTTGCTGGATGGACGAACTGGCAGCATGAAGCCACTGAAGCCTCAGGTGACTAGGGTTTATAGGGTTTAGGTTTACGGCTTACCGACTGATTAGTTTCCTCTAGGGGTAGTTTCTGAACCCATAGACTCCTAAAACCCTATAAACCTGCATCCTAAACCCAAACCCTAATACTAAACCTAAACCCCAAATCCTAGAGAAACTAAACCCTAAACCCTTTATACCCTACAACCCGAAATCCCATAAACCCTAAACCCCTAGTGAAGCAAAACCCCCTATAAACCCTATAAACTTTAATTCCTGGAGAAGCTAAGCCCCAAACCCTAAACCCGAAACCGTAAAACCCTAAACCCTAAACCCCAAACCCCAAACCCTAAACCCTAAACCCTACACCCGACACCCTAAACCCTAAACCCTGCCCAGGAGTCGCAGCCGAGGCGGCAGGCGCGGATGCCTTTGATCGCCCAGCCAAGGACTGCTGGTTTGGGGTTTAGGGTTTAGGGTTTAGGGTTTAGGGTTTAGGGTTTAGGGTTCAGGGTAGGCCCGTATTAAGCGAGGCTTGCAGGGTCTGGGGGTTCGGTTCGGTGTATTAGCGGCTTGGACTCACAGATCCCTACGCCCTAAGCCCTAAGCCCTAAGCCCTAAACCCTAAACCCTAAACCCTAAACCCTAAACCCTTTTCGGGTGGGGGGGGGGGGGGAAAGTGCCTTTAGGGTTCTAGGGTTGATCTTTGCCTCATGCAAAGGAAAGGAGGACGTCTTAAACCTTGAATCCCAGCGCTCTCCCCGTAAGCAAACAGGGTTTAGGGTTTAGGGTTTAGGGTTGCTCCTCCTATGGGTTCTGGGACAATTGGACCTACAAAGCCAGGGCTCCCAAAACCCTAAACCCTGAGCCCCAAACCACAAACCCTAAACCCCAAACCCCAAACCCTAAACCCTAAGCCCTGAAACCCTAAGCCCTAAACCCCTACATCTCGAGGGTCTAGGGTTTAGGGTTCAGGGTTTGGGGGTTAGAGTTCAGGGGCGAATGAGACAGAATTCTCGTGCACCGCGGCAGAGACACATGTGGAGCGGTGCAATCTCTGAGCAGGCCTGACATAGCAAGAGCGCTAAGGAATTTGTAGCTGATTTGGTGCGCGACCTAAACACTAAATCAACTATATCCAAAAACTCTACAGCCTGAGCCCTTCACCCTTGAACCCTTACAACTCCTGAAGCCCACCTGAATGCTTCAGCGTAGTCCCTTTTGGGTTAGGTATAGGGGATTCTAGTATGCTACCCCAACATGATACTACAAAACCCTAAACCCTAAACCCTAAACCCTAAACCCTAAACCCTAAACCCTAAACCCTAAACGATACTACATAGGAGCCTTGGGGTAAGCCCTTCACCCTGAAGCCATCTTCGGCTCCACGTCATACCCGCGGAGACCCCCCGAAACCTTTAGCGCGCTCTAAGGTGCAGAATTTCTAGGATGCATCACCCTAAACCCTAAGGTTGCCCAGTGGTACACTTTTCCCGCTTTCTGGTTCAAGCTTCCCTTATACATCCCATGTACCTTGGAAAAACGACCCTTGAAAATGTCCTCTTCCTAAATCCTAACTCAAAGTTAAGGGGTTTTTAACCTTTTGAATCACCCTTAAGAACCCAACATAGAAAACGTGCCATCATGAGTCTGCCCATACTTGCCCTAATTTACCAACCACCTTCGTAACCCCTAAACCCCCAAGCACAAACCCCAAACCATAAACCCTAATCCCTAAACCCTAAACCCTAATCCCTAAACCCTAAACCCTAAACCCTAATCCCTAAATCCAAACTAACAAGAGGTCGCTTGTCTTGCAAGCCATGAGTTCGCCTGAGCTGCGAATTCGGCTCTTGTCTGGCGAGGAGGTGGCTTACCATCGCTAAGGCTCTTTTTGAATATGAAGACGCGCGGTGTTTTTTTTATAGTAAAAAACCCTGATTCAAAACAAGGGACCATATATTTTGGGATTTACAGGGTTTTGGGCTGCTTTGGGGGGTTTAACGGGCTTTGGTTTCAGGGTTTACCGCGACGATTTTTCAGGAGTCTTTACGTGGCTGGAAGACCCGTACATACTATATGGTGGGTGGGTTCAAAGCTTGAGATACTGCTTTCGGTGCCACTCTGAACCCTCCTAAACCCTAAGCCTTAAAGCCCCAAAGCCTGAAACCCTACATCCCCACAACTCTCTATAGACCCCATTCCCTGACCGTTTGCAGAAAACTAGCCGAGGTCGCGTGCTTCACGAAGGAAAAGCTGCACGAGATTTCCACGACTCATGGCGACTCCATCCGTGCTTTGAAGCTCTGCTTGCACCTCGTGGTGGGAGCATCCAGGTTTAGGCCGGGTCTACGTCGTTTAGGGTTTAGGGTTTAGGGTTAATGTCCGCCCCCTCCCCCCCGCAGAAAAAAAAAATATATATATATATACATATATATTATAATGATAATCATTATCATCATCATCATAATAATAACCTTTTAGGAATTCCTAAGCCCTACCCTAAACCCTGGCCTTAAACTCCCCCCCCCCCTCCAAGAAGTCATTTTCGGGGCCTGATTTAGGGAGTACTTGGAGCCCAACCGCAAAATACATATCACCCTAAACCCAGGGAGCCGTTATGAATGGGGCGAGATTTGCTTCTATGACCCAGAGTAGGCCGCTGTCGCCTTTCTTGAGGGTTTAGGTTCCCGTATAAGACGGTGAAAAATCAAAAGAAGCACCAGTTTTAATTGGTGGTTTCAGGGCCTCGAGGGTTCACGGTCGACACGCTGAGGGGCGCTGGTTGTACATGTTGTAGAGTAGGTAGCCTTTAACCTTTTTGGGGCAGTACAAACCCTAAACCCTAAACCCTAAACCCTACACCCGGATAAAGTTTATAGGCTGCAAAGGCCGGCGCCCTGGGCTTTCAGAGGCTTGTAGGGTTTAGGCTTTAGGCTTGAGGGTTTATATAGGGTTTGGGGTTTAAGGGCTGGATCAGCGTACGGTTTTGGAGGGTTTAAGGCCGCTAGGGTTTAGGGTTGAGGGTTGAGGGTTTAGGGTTTAGGAGTTGAATACCTAAGGTGGAGGGGCTTCGGGTCTATACTCGCAGGTTCATGGTACTTGTTGACCAAGTATCACTGTACTTACAGCTGTACTTGTAACCATATTAGGGCACTTAAGGGGCTCATAAGTGGGTTATAACTACAGTTATAATTGGTTGATAAGTACCATGAACCTCCTAGTATAGACCAAAGCCCCACAACCCTAGGTATTCAATTCCTAAACCCTAAACCCTAAACCCTCAACCCTAAACCCTAAACCCTAAACCCTAAACCCTAAACCCTAAACCCTAAACCGGATTGCTTGGTGATTGCAGGCAGCGGCTGTCATGCGCTGGCCGGCTTCTGAATGACGATGATGCCCTCTCAGAGCTGCCGCTGCCAGAGGAGCATAGACCAACCCGTCTCTAAGGGTAGTTATATTGGGGTTCAGGGTTCAGGGTTTAGGGTTTAGGGTTTAGGGTCTAGGGTTTTTAGGGTTTAGGGTTTAGGGGTAGTTTTATGGGCCCTGAATATGGTCCCTTGCCTCCTTGAAGGGGTTCTGAAGTATGGGCCCCTCGTTTGTGTAGGGTATATAAGAGGATATTATAAGGGGTTCCGATTTCAGGGCGGGCCCATACTAATGGACCATGTTACTACCCTTAGGTTGTCTGTATCAACGGGGCCCGGGTATGGAGCTCTGTTTCAAGCCATGCCTGAAATCTACATATATATATACATATATATATATATGTTGTTTTATTTGTTTATTTACGGCTAGCGCGTGTCGATACATTTCCGTTTCGCCCTAAACACTGAACCCACAGAGCATTGCGCCGTGCACTTTGCAGACGACTTCCGCAATCTTCCGCGCCGGAGGAGGCTGAGCTGGTCCTCCTGACCTTCTGTGGTCCCAGGAATCCGCAGGAGGTGGCGCGGGGGGTTGGGGGCTTGCAATATTATCGCCTAAGCCCTAAACCCTAACCCTAAACGGCAAAAACCCCTATCTTTTCCCTGAACCCATAAACCCTGAACCCTACAAAAACCGGCAACCCTCAGTCCCATAATGCTGGCACCCCTAAACCCTAAACCCCACAAGCCCTGAACCTGGAAGCCGGAACTGAACCTTAAACCTGAAACTCTAAAACCCCGTCCACCCCATAAAGCCCACCCTAAGGGTCCATGTACCTAATTTTTATATACTTGGGCCTTAAAGTACCTCCTATACAGGGACTTTAGGGCCCAAGTATATAATAATGAGGTACATGGACCCTTAGGGCCAGACACCAAACCGCATCAACCGCTTGTTGCGCTCGAAGTTGAACCCTGAAACACATTCCTCGGGCCCCCTGAGCCCTAAACCCTCAACCCTGAACCCTAAACCCTGAACCCTAAACCCTAAACCCTGAACCCTCAACCCTAAACCCTAAACCCTAAACACTGCACCCTGAACCCTTAACCCTAAACCCTAAACCCTAAACCCTAAGCCCTAAGCCCTAAACCCTAAACCCTAAACCCTAAACCCTACCCCCCGCAAGGTCTGGTCCTTCACCCGGACCGTGGCCGAGGATGACACCTTCGAGCTTGAGTGGCAGCTTGGTCAACCCTGGGATCCTGACACTGACCTGAGCTTAGGGTTTAGAGTTTAGGGTTTAGGGTTTAGGGTTTAGGGTTTAGGGTTTAGGGTTTAGGGCTTCGGGTTTAGGGTTCAGGAAACGGAGGTTTAGGGTTTCAGGGTTAGGGGGTTCAGGGGTTTAGGGTTTGGGGTTTAGGATTTTGGGTCTCGGGCTGCTTAGGGTTTAGGGAGCTTAGTTTGAGAAGCCAGGATACCATCGTTGCAGCCGGATTCGCCATTTTAGGTCGGGCATGCTACTAGGCAGATCTAGCCAGGATCTTTGGTTCCTTCTTGTGTTGAAGAGCAACCCTCAACCCCAAACCCTACACTCCCAGCCACGAACCATAAATCCTAAGCCCTAAACCCTGAACCCTAAACCCTAAACTCCAATTCACGCGCCAACCTAGGCTACCATGGGAGTACGGCGTGCTTGCAGCTGCTACTTGAAGCTGCCGCGAACGTGAACAAGAGTGGTGGAACAGGCTGCCTTGGGGACCGACTGAAGCCTAGAATTCGGCGGGGTTTAGGGCTTAGGTTTCAGTGGAACAACCCTAAACCCTAAGCCCCAAGCCCGAAACCCTAAACCCTAAACCCTAAACCCTAAACCCTAAACCCTAAACCCTAAACCCTAAACCCTAAACCCTAAACCCTAAACCCTAAACCCTACACGAACCAAGGCTTGACGCCACTGGCGATGGCGTGTGCCAGGGGACGCCTCCAGTGTGTCCGACTGTTGCTGGAAGCGCTGGCCGAGGCGGATCACTGCGATCAACATGGAAGAACACCCTTGTGGATGGCTGCACAGAAACCCGGCGTTTAGGGTTTAGGGTTTAGGGTTTAAGGTTTAGGGTTTAGGATGTTGCAATCATTGGGGCGACTTGCTCTGCCAGAACTTCGGGACCCTAAAGTTTCAAGCCAACTTTGAACCCTTCGTCATCCCAAAAAACCCTAAAGCATAAAACCATAAAACCCTGAAACAAGCCCTTGTACCCTAAACCCTAAACCCTAAACCCTAAACCCTAAACCCTAAACCCTAAACCCTAAACCCCAGGAGCAACCATGCGGAGATCGCCGAGACCCTCTTGAAGGCCGGCGCCTTCAAAGGCGGCGCTGTCTCATCGCCTTTGTGGATTGCTGCGGAGAGAGGCCACCTCTGGTGTGAGGGTGTTAGGGTTTAGGGTGTTAGGGTTTAAGGTTTAGGGTTTAGGGTTTAGGGTTTAGGGTGGTTCAGGGAAAGCCCTAAACCCTAAACCCTTAAAACCCTAAACGCTTGAACGCCTAAACCCTAAACCCGGTGTTAGGGTTTGTTTTTTTGGGTTTCGGGCCTTAAGGCTCAGCGGTTTGGGGCTTATAAGGCTTCGATTAAGCCACGCGGGTAACCCCCATCACTTGGAGCTTCATGGTACATGTTAACCAATTATGACTGTACTTACATGTCACTTTCAAGCCCCTTAAGCGCCCTAATATGGTTATAGGTACAGTTATAAGTACAGCTACCCTACACCCTAAACCCTAAACCCTAAACTCCCTGTAAGTACAGAAAAAAGAAGTGGCAAGTATAAGTACCATGGACCTGCAAGCAAGGACACCTGGCTGTCGCCGAGACCCTTTTGGAGGCCCAGTACTACCCTTTTTCCCTTGTTTGGGGGTGTAGGTTCCATTATAAACCTCTTTAAGCAAAAAAGGGCACCCTTTTTAATCATAAACCCTAAACCCTAAACCCTAAACCCTAGGATACTGGGCAGCCTAGAGACCCTTTTGGAGGCCGGCGCGGAGCCGGACGAAGTGGCCGAAGATGGGTCCTCTCCTCTGCCGGCTGTCCTGTTGATCATAGGAGGGTTTTTAGGGCTTTTAGGGTTTTAGGGTTTTTTAGGGTTTTTAGGGTTTTTAGGGTTTTTTGCGGTTTTTAGGGTTTATAGGGTTTATAGGGTTTATAGGGTTTATAGGGTTTATAGGGTATAGGGTTTCGGGTTTAGGGTTTAGGGTTTTGGGCTATTTTCATCCTGAGAGTAGGTAAACCAACGAGTAGCTGGCATGAAGCTGGTGCCATATTCCGCCTCGTTTCTGGACATTCATCGTGGCGTGTAGCGGCCTGGGAATCGCTCACGCGTCCTGATTGTGGCTTGAAGGGTTCTGGGTCGCAGGGGTTTAGGGTGTAGGGTTTAGGGTTTAGGGTTTAGGGTTTAGGGTTTAGGGTTTAGGGTTTAGGGTTTAGGGTTGCCCGTGCGCAACCCATCTCTCGCGCACAAAACAACAACAAAGAACTGAAGCTAAGCTTGCTCTTCTAGAGGAGCCGTGCAAGACAGCTGAGGTGGATCGCATGCCAGCAGGGGCACGTCAACATCATTCGGCTCCTGTTGCGAGCAGGTGCCAGCAGAGACAAGCCCAACGAAGATGGTGCCCTGCCAGTGTGGGTGGCCGCTCACAGGGGCCACGACTCAGTAGTGCAACTGCTGTCCGGGGTCATAGAAGCAGAAACCAAGTGTCTCACGTCCACATTGCAGCACCCTCTCAACCCTGAACCCTATAAGCCCTAAATCCTAGACCAAATACCTGTGGATGGGAGCTTTGAGGCCGCTTTCTGAGCTTAGTTGGTCACTGTTTCTGGATACTTTGGGGGCTTCGGGGTTAGAATCTTCAGGCGGCCCGCATGATTGAGGGTACCCAAGAAGGACCATCATTCCGAGAACTGACCGGTTGGGGTATGCCCTAAGGCTCCAGATAGCCCAAAGCAGGTACTACTTCTAGACTTCAGACCCCCATGTAGGCATTTGGAGCTAAACACCCGAAACCTTAAGCCTAAACCTATAGACCCTAAGCCCGCAACAATCCACAAGCCTTACTCCCGAAGCCTGTAAACCTTACACGTACACCCTTCTGCGAGTACAAGCCCTATAGAAGCCAACGCCATAGCCGTTTTCGTGGCGAATCAGGGGAACTGGCAGGCTCCTAAACCTAAATCCTAGGAAAGGTCCAGGGTTTTGTGAGCGCAGTGCGTGCAGCAGCACGCATGCAACGCGCATGCAAGTAGGAATACAGGCTTATTGCCTTTCCCATGCCTTGGTAGCCCAGTGGTACCCTTTTCCCTTTTAAAGTTCACCCAAAAAGGGCTACCAAGGTTCTATTGGGTGTAACTGCTGTTTAATGTCTAGGATGTAAGTACAGGGTTTAGCCTTCAGGCTTTTGGGCTTAGGGTTTGGCAAGTATTCGTTTCGATTCAAGGGCCGCTGAGCAAGTCCATTCTCAGACCTCAGCGCCTTCAACCTCATCCCTAGACCCTAAATCAAAGTCCAGAACCATGAAACCCTAAACCCTAGACCCTAGACCCCAAACCCCAAACCCCAAACCCCAAACCCTAAACCCTAAACCCTAAACCCTAAACCCTAAACCCTAAACCCTAAACCCTAAACCCTAAACCCTAAACCCTAAACCCGAATCTCCAACTTTGCAGGAGCTCAGGCATGGTCGACGCCTGGCCCCCGGGGAGGCCTTCACGCCGCGGCCCCAAGATGTGGGAGCAGGGCGCCCACAGGGCTAGGGTTTAGGGTTTAGGGTTTAGGGTTTAGGGTGTAGGGTGTAGGGTGTAGGGTTTAGGGTTTGGGGTTTGGGGTTTGGAGTTTGGGGGTTTGGGGTTTAGGATGTAGGGTTTCGGGTTAGAGTGTTCATAGGTTGAGAAACAGGGTATAGGGCTCAGGGTTTCAGGGTTGCGTCTTTTGTGTGGTTCAGGGCTTTCTGGTTTCATGTCGGCCGTCTGTTGCTGTAAGCAGCCAGAAGGTCAGTGCTTGCTACGCAAGTCGGAATTGCACCACCACTTGCAGGCAGGATGAGCAGGCCCACACCACGCAGGAGGCCAATCTGCAAGACCTCACAGTGCAACTGCGGCAGCTCCGCTCCGAACTCACCAGGGGCGAAATTTACATGGGAGTCTTCCCATACCCTAAACCCTGAACCCTAAACCCTAAACCCTCAACTTCAGAGGAGAAGGCTCAAGGGTTATTGGGGTTTCTGGGATGCCAGGGTGATAGCAGCCAGAGGTTTAGGGTTTAAGGTTTAGGGTTTAGGGTTTAGGGTTTAGGGTTTTAGGGTTTAGGTTTTAGGGTTTAGGGTTTAGGGTTTTAGGGTATAGGGTTTGAGGTTTAGGGCAGCATGGGTCAAAGTGCGTCGCTTGCGCCGCTAGCTGGGGCCACGGGCATCACCAAGAACCATCACAGAGGCCTCACCAGCTGATATCCCCGCCCTTGCTATCAATATGGGTGGTTGTCAAAGTTTAGGGTTTACCGTTTAGGGTTTAGGGTTTAGGGTTTAGGTCCCGTTTGGGGTCCCTAGAAAAATGTTATGCGGCACCTGGTCTTTAGCGTGTCCAAAAAGGGATCACAATTTTGACAACCACCCATACAAATGAAGACTTGAACTCTTGTCATACCACTGCCTTATAGTAGTTAAGTTCCCAACAGATGCATCAATACCTTGCTCCAATTTTTGGTGTCTAGGTGCCCTCGTGAAAGTAGCAAAGTCACGAACAAGAGCACCCCTACTATAGTTACTCGAATATGGTTCCACCGCCACCAGCCACCAAGACAAGCCAAGGTCCCGAATCAGCAAGATGCAACGGGTCCCAGGACCCAAAATGCGAAGAAAATCGGGTGTTTAGATACAGAAGCTCCCGAAACCCTAAACCCTATAACCCTATAGAACCCGAGAACCCGAAACCCTGCACCCTAAACCCGAAACCTAAACCCAAAACCCTAAACCCCAAACCCAAAACCCAAAACCCAATAATCTCAAAGGTTTGGCATTCCCAGCCGGGAATTCCTGGACTTCGGAAACTTCGGAGCAGCTGCGCAGGCTCCTTTTGTGGAGGATGAAGACTCGGTAATCTTGAAAGGTTTAGGGTTTAGGGTTTGGGGTTTGGGGTTTAGGGCTTAGGCCTTAGGGCTTAGGCCTTAGGGCTTAGGCCTTAGGGCTGAGGGCTGAGGGCTTAGGGCCTTGGGCTTTGGGCTTCAAATGGTTCAGGGTGCGAGGACCTGGCCGGCCAGGATCCCAGGCCCCTTTTGCGTTCTGCCAAGAAGCGCGTGCACATGGGCAGTTCTCTACGTCCCTATGAATTTCTAAACCCTAAACCCTAAACCCTAAACCCTAAACCCTGAACCCTGAACCCTGAACCCTGAACCCTGAACCCTAAACCCTAAACCCAAATGCCTAAACCCAAAATATAAACAGATTCTTCCTTTTAAGGTTGATATAGGTTTGTTGTTTTTGGGGGGGGAACCTTAAGCAAGCAGTAGACTAGGGTCCCTTATTCTCGGTAGGCCCTGGGGGATAGTCTATATTTTCCTTTAGTGGGTTTCGTCTTTTTGCCATAGAAATCTTTGTGCTCAGCCGACAATAGATCTTTTACTTTTTGGGTCTTTCTGATTTAGTAGGAATGATAAAGTTTCCACTTTCTCATTCCTTGGTTGTTGGAGAAGTAAGTCTCGTTAGGTCCTTTGGATATTTCAGATGTTCACTTAATTATTGGGTTTAAAAGGATCATATATTCAGGAAGATTCTTCAGAGAGTTTTAAGGGCCATCCTAGTATCGGATCCCTCTTTAACGGATGCCGCCTTTTCATGGGTACCCAACAAGGGAACCTATTGTCGGAAGCGACCCGAATGGGTCCGGTTTAGAGGGTGTTGAAGGTCCGGGTTTCGAGGGTGTTGAGGGGCTAGGTTTATACATTAGAGGGTTTGGAAGATTCAAAGGGTGGGGGGCTTTCGGGTTTAGGGTTGATTTAGGTACTGGCGTGGCGCAAGTTTCGGGGCTTGGGGCTTGGGGGCTGGCTACCCTAAACCCTAAACCCTGGATCCTAGACCCTAAACCCTAAACCCTAAACCCTAAACCCCAAACCCTAAACCCTAAACCCTAAAGGGGTTTCAGAGATGCTCCTTCTTTGGTCTTGTTGATGGCTTGGGGCCTCACAGAGCTTTAGGGATTCAGGGTCGTGATGTTTCCCCTTATACTAACAATCCTTAATAGGGATCATCGTAGGGGGTACTACAATCCCTATTGAGGACTGTTAGCATAAGGCGGAACATCCCAAACTTTGGGTGCTTAGAGCCTCAGGGTTGTGACCCTAAACCTAAACCCTAAACCCTAAACCCTAAACCCTAATAGTTATCTTGACTTTGAGAACATGGCACCATGCCTTGGGTCTTGCGTTTGTTTGGAGCCCTTCGTCCCCCTCCCTCCCACACTCCGTTTAGGGTTTAGGGTTTAGGGTTTAGGGTTTAGGGTTTAGGGCTTGCAAACCCTTAATGCCCTTAAAGCCCTGAACCTCCGCAGGCCCGGGCCAAGGACTACGCCGCAGCCTGGGACAGGTTGCGCGGCTGGCAGTTCTGCGATTCGGGTTGGGATATTCCCCCTCAGGGTTTAGGGTTTGGGGTTTGGGGTTTGGGGTTTGGGGTTTGGGGTTTGGGGTTTGGGGTTGGGACATTCCCCCTTAGATTAACAGTCCTTACTAGGGGTCATAGTACCCCCTGTTTGTGTAGGGGGGAACATCTCAAAATATGTGTATTTCCCCAAAGAAGGAAACATGGTTCCCAACTTCTTCCCCAGTCTTGTATATTCCTTCTATAGGAAGCCCCGAGAACGGTCCCCCTATTTACGGAAATCTCCATATTAGGATTTGTGGGGCTTATTTTTGGGCTTTTGCCTTGTTCTGGCTTGTAGGATTCTGGCTTGAAGGTCTAAGCCCTAAACCCTAAACCCTAAAGCCTAAACCAGGGAAGCAGCAGTTTCGGACTGGGACCTGCCACGCAGTGCTCAGCGCGAAGCAGGATAAGTGGCGCTTTCGCGGCCAGGCACATAGTAACCAAGTATAACCGTACTTATAACTGTACTTCTAACCATATTAGGGCACTTAAGGGGCTTATGAGTGGGTGATAAGTACAGATAGAATTGGCAAATAAGCACCATGAACCTCCAAGTACCCCGCGTATTTGGGATTCAGGGCTTTGGGCTCTTCAGTGTTCAGGGCTTGAGAGTGTTTGGGGTTTTGGGATTTCAGGGTCCAGGGTTTAGGGCATGATTTTGTGATGATTAATCCCCTCCCCCTAACATTAGACCCCCCCCCCTACCCCCTTAATACTAAATACCCCCCAGTATAGTTGTATTGTAGCATATGGGGTGGGGTAATGAATTTTGGAGGGTAGGGGGGGAAGTTTAATCTTAAGGGGAGGGGGTCAGGTCTATATCGGGCTCCTCGGAGCCCTCTAGCATACTCTTGAATGAGTCCTCACTCCTTAAGGGTACTCTAAAGGACGCATCATGAAGATCAGCCTTCGACATGTGAAACCCCAAACCCCAAACCCCAAACCCCAAACCCTAAACCCTAAACCCTAAACCCTAAACCCTAAACCCTAAACCCTAAACCCTAAACCCTAAACCCTAAACCCTAAACCCTAAACCCTAAACCCTAAACCCTAAACCCTAAACCCAACCCTAAAGGTCTGTGGAGGCTTTGCAAGCCATTGGCGGCACCTGCGTTGAGGTCGACTACGCGCCGTTTCAAGAGGCTGCTGCATTGGCTCCAGGGTTGAACTGGGGTTTAGGGTTAGGGTTTGGGGTGCATGGTTTAGGGTTTAGGGTTTTAGGGTTTAGGGTTTAGGGGTTAGGGCTACAAAGCACCCTAAACCCACCCCCGGAGGCCGCCAATCTCCTCTACCAGGCGCGGCGTCTGCCTCTGTGAGCTTCTTCTCTAAAGGGGGAAAAGGAGGGACCCTTAGCGGGTCTAGGGTTTAGGGTTTAGGGTTTAGGGTTTAGGGTTTAGGGTTTAGGGTTTAGGGTGACCCCTTAGAAGGGAGCCTTAGCCTTATTGTCCCATATAGCCCTCATTTATGTCTGTTATAGTCCCTCTTTGCCTAAGTAGCCCCTAGATAAGCCCCAATAAGGTCCCCTAAGGTCCCTTGTAAGGGTCCCTCCTTTAGTCCCTTTATTCTCATTCTCTCAGTTGGCAGGACCACAGGTCGAGATCTAAGGTCGTACGGGTTACTGCTAGTTGCTTAAGAACCGCCCCAGAAAAGGTTCGTCAAGAGCAATAGAAGCATGATTCTTCAACCCTAGACCCTAAACCCTAAACCCTAAACCCTAAACCCTTGGTATTTTAGGGTTGGTTCACGATGTGAGATCCGCTGTGTGAACGAGTGCCAGGCTTCCCTGCCTACCATAGGGTTTAGGGTTTAGGGTTTAGGGTTTAGGGTTTAGGGTTTGGGGTTTAGGGTTTCGTGTTTAGGGTTGCCCTTCCTTTTTCAATGCTACCAGCATGGGCTGTTTGAAGGCCAACCTTGGACAGTCACTGCTTGTCGAATGCCGTCCTGGTCCTCTTTTTGGCTGAGCTGGTCCACGAAGTGGTGCTGCTTGCTTCCGTTCAGGCGCAAAACGCAACACAAGGAGTGCAACGAGTGAGCTTGCGGCAGAATCAGCAGATAGCCCACTTCAGGATCATCTTCGTGCCCAAAATCATGACAAGACGATATACTGGAGTCTGCAGCACGTGCACGGCGTGCCGCGAGCCCTTGCCTTTCAAGGCAAAGCGTATGCGATGTGGAGAGCTGCCTCCACAGCGCGAGGGGACGGGGCCCGCCCTAAACCCTGAACCCTAGACCCGAACCCTAAACCCTAGACCTGAACCCTAAAACCTAACTCGAACCTAGCATTGGGGAACCAAAGAATCTCATTTTTTGGGGTTGTTTTGTTGGGCACAGCAGCTGTTATTCAGACCCTGAAATATACTTCCATTTTTGTGGGCACGCAAGTTGATGATCCTGTGATCTAGCAAGTCAGATCGGGTACCCGCCTAACCGGAACCACTAGTAAGCGCCCCCCCCCTAACCCCTAAACCCTACACCCTAAACCCTACACCCTTAACCCCAAACCCTAAACGGGGATGGCCACGGGAAGGACTTGCAGCGACTCAAACTCATGGTACATTCTCCCCCTGATTCTTCGTAGGGAATGGGGGAATGAGGTAACCTATCTAGGATGCCCAGTAGTGCCCTTATTCCCTTTTTTGGGGGGTTAGGTTCCCTTATATAACCCCTTTAAACGAAAAAAAAAGGTACCCTTTTCAATCCTGGGTTACTGAGCATCCTCGCTATCTAATGCCTGAAAGGTTATATATAGGGGGACATAGGGTACCCTAAACCCTAAACCCTAAACCCTAAACCTCATCCCCTACAAAGAACCAGCGAGTTCGGAGAGGTGCTACAAAAAGGATGTTGGGCTTTTTGCTTGGTTCCCCAACTCCCAGGAGCCCACTGGTTCGGGGTTCAGGGTTCAGGGTTTAGGGTTTAGGGTTTAGGCGGTTCAGGGTCTAGGGATTTGGCCGAAAGTCGTCGAACCCAAAAGCCTCCTAGCCGTTTCGGGCTTGCTAGCTCCCCAACCCTAAGCCCTAAACCCCAAACCCTGAACCCCAACCCCAAACCCTAAATCCTAAACCCCAGACCCTAAACCCTAAACCCTAACCCCTAAACCCTAAACCCTAAACCCTAAACCCTAAAGCCCCTAAAAAGCTTCCAAGAGCCGGTTCAGGGACCCTGGGTGGCCGAGCGGCTCGCCGCCATCGCCGCGGTGCTGAAGGAAGATCCCCAGGCAGGAAGGCTTGGGGTTTAGGGTTTAGGGTTTATAGGGTTTAGGGTTTAGGGTTGAGGGTTGAGGGTTTAGGGTTTAGGGTTTAGGGTTTAGGGTTTAGGGTTTAAGGGCTTTCTTGCTCTTTCTTGGCAAGGATGAGCGAACTGGGTTCAGGGTTTAGGGATTAGGGTTCAAAGCTTAGGATTTTAGGGTTTATGGTAGCTCACATTCCTGAAAATGTTCTTTGAGGAATGGATGCTTGGGTTTTTTGGAGGGCTCCGATGGCGATGAGATACTGTTCTGTTTCAACATATACCGAAATGTTTGTGTCATCTTATCCCGCCTGTCTTTCAATAATGTTTGACAATCTTTAGTTTCACTATCAAATATCCACCCTATACCTTCAAAATCTGGATAGTCTGCTAAAACTCCCGTTTCTTTTGTTGTTATGCCACTTTCTCGTAAATCTTCAACTTCATAACCTGTAGTATCTAAGAATGGTCTTTCAGTGGGTTTTAGGGTTGAGGCAGAGGTTGTTATGGTTTTGGGTCTTTGGGTGGCATAGGGGGTGGTGCATGGTTAGAAAATGGAAATGGTATTCACTAACTAAATCACCCTAAACCCTAAACCCTAAACCCTACTAAACTTACACCCTAAACCCTAAACCCTACCCCAAAATCACCCCTACTTACCCCAAGGTCGTGCAGCCGACGGTCAGGACGCCACTTCTGGGGGGGCTTCTTTAGGGGGTGTATACCCTAAGCCCTGAACAGTTTAGGCTTTAGGGTTTAGGGTTTAGAAGCCCTCGCCCTCAGCCCTAGACCCTCAACCCTACACCCTAAATATCCTGCGCCCGCAACCCAAAGCCCTCAACCCCCCACACACCCTAAACCCTCCTCAAACCTCCATCCAGGAACCGCAGCCCTTTCCCCCAAAAATCCGAAACCCTAACCCCTACACCCTCGATGTTGTCCAGGTCTGTGACCTTTCGGTTGAGGGTTTAGGCCTAGAGTGAAGGATTACCTCTGCCTTAGTTTGGGATATTTTGGGTGGGGGTCTTGAGGGTTGGGTTTAGGGTTCAGGGTTCAGGGCTTAGGATTTAGGTTTAGGGTTTAGGGTTTAGGATTTAGGGTTTAGGGTTTAGGGTTTATCATTGTAGCTTGGAGGTGTCCTTTTTCACCTGCGCTGTTAAGTTTCGAGATGCAAGGTTGACACATTCAGGCGTTCACCGCCTAGCGGAGTAGCGTTTACAGTGAAAGTTTGTCCTGGGGGTTTGCAACCTAAACCCTAAGCCGTAGGGCCAAAACCGTAGGATTTGCGTGCTAGGGTTAAGAGTTCCCTAAGGGTCCATGTACCTCATTATTATACACTTGGGCCCTAAAGTCCCTGTATAGGAGGTACTTTAAGGCCCAAGTATATAATAATTGGGTACATGGACCCTTAGGGGTTTAGAGTTTAGGCTTGAGGGTGGTCT